TTGTGCTTTCAGGTTGAATTTGAGGATGTGAAAAAGGGCACTTATAATGTCGGTGTTAGCCTTGTCCTTTTAGGTTGAATAAGAATTTAAGTTAACGTGTTTGCATATTTTGTCAGTAATTCTGGTGTGCTTTCCCATATTTCTCTGTACACTCTTAAAAATAAAGGTGCTTAAAAGGTTCTTCACAGCGATGCCATAGAAGAACCATTTTTGGTTCCACAAAGAACCATTCAGTCAAAGGATCTTTAAAGAACCATCTCTTTCTTACCTTTTTATAATCTGAAGAACCTTCTTTTGCCACAAAGAACCTTTTGTGAAACAGAAAAGTTCTTCAGATGTTAAAGGTTCTTTATGGAACCATTTAGACAAAAAGGTTCTTCTATGGCAATGTGAAGCACCTTTTTTTTTTTTAAGGGATAGTTCACCCAAAAATGTCACCCAAGTTCTGTCATTAATTACTCACCCTCATGTCATTCCAAACCTGTAAGACTTTTGTTCATCTTTGGAACACAAATTAAGATATTTTTGATGCATTCCGAGAGCTCTCTGACTCTCCCATAGATAGCAAGGATCCTTACACGATCAAGGCTCAGAAACGTAGCAAGGAGATCGTTAAAATAATCCATGTGACATCAGTGGTTCAACCATAATTTTCCGAAGCTACGACAATACTTTTTGTGCGTAAAGAAAACAAAAATAACGACTTTATTCAACAATTTGTCTCCTTCACGTCACCCTATAGCGCCATTTTGGAGAGTATCACATATGTAAGAGAGCTCTCGGAATTCATCAAAAATATCTTAATTTGTGTTCCGAAGATGAACGAAGACGACATTTTTGGGTGAACCATCCCTTTAAGAGTGTATCAGCTGGGAAAACTGTATGTTGGTTCTTTTTTTGGTGGGTGTGTATTTGTGTGTGTGCCCTCCGGAGCATTGGTTAGTGAGTATCTACTTCCAACTATTCACGCAGAGGAGAGTCTTCTGCTTCAGTGATTCAGTGCGCATGTGTGTGTATGTGTGCAAGTTCACCTAAAGCGTTCACAGGTTTGTTATAGGATTTAAGAATTCTGAGGCACAAAAATAGACTGTGACCTAAATTTGAGAAGTTAACTATAAGAGTTGACATGCAACTCTGAGCTACAGCGCTCTGAGCTACAGCGTCTCACCCACCCCTTCCTGAGATGGCCTTTCTTTGTGTCGTCGTGTATGTGAGAGCTATTTCTAATTCATTTTACACTGAGAAACATTAGCAGATGCTGAGTGTAAGCTCAGTGGATGAGATGAAAATGGAAAAAGCCTAATGAAATTAATTGTATTATATTTCAATTATGTTAATAGAATTTATTGCATTTAATGACATATATACACAAAAAAAAATTTCAAAAGTTTTTTTTTTTTTTTTTCAAAAGACATAATTATATTTGGCAAGGATGCAATAAATTGATCACATATAACGGTAAAGATATTTAGTATAATTTTAGAAAGATTTATTTCCAATACTGTTATTTTAAACTCATCATCGGTTACTTATTCTCACGGTTTCCACAAGTATATTAATCCGCACAACCGATTTTAATGTTGATAACATTAACAATAAGAAATGTTTCTTGAATCAGCATATTAGAATAATTTCTGAAGGATCATGTGACACTGAAGACTGAAGTAATGATGCTGAAAATTCAGCTTTGCCATCACAGAAATAAATTTTATTTTAAAATAAATTAAAATAAAAGCATTTGTAAATTGTAATAATATTTCACAATATTACTGTTTTACTGTATTGTGTTCAAATAAACGTAATCTTAGTATACACATGAGAGACTTTTGAACAGTCGTTTAATTATTTGCAGTGAAAAGGCTGACATTTAAATAATTCAGTCACAATGAAAGCATTGAAAATACCTTTTAAAAATCCATATCTTTTTTTCTTTATTTCCATATCACTGAACACAAGCCTATCACTGGCCTAGAGTCTCCAGCAATTCAAATGGTCATCACACAGGGCACTTTTATTATATAATTTTTGGTCTGTGTGCACAGGCAGACAGATGTCTTTAACCATTAAGTTAAGTTTTTAGTGTCTCACTCCATGTGGGCCTTGTTTTTAAATTCAAATTTAAACATGCATCTCAGGATCCCGCATTCTGTTGCGCTTCTGTTTCTCTATAGGTGTGAATGTAGGTCACTGATGCTTATAGTCTCTCTCTCCCATGCTCTTTTGCAGCTTTCGTCTGAATCATGCAAAGCAGCTTCAAACATCAAACAGATTTGCAGGAATATCCATGCGCTGAAGGGAGAGAGATGGAGCGGCTGTGTGCTTGTGTGCGTGTGTGAGTGTGTGGGTGGAGAAAATGGAGCATGAAGACCTCCTCATCTCCTCTTTTCAGCGTCTAAACTTACAATCATCACAGACTCACAACCAAACACACACACACATTTACATAACTATCTAAATGGGGACATTACATATACTTAAATTGTTTTTACAGATAGTTATAAATACAGTAACCAAACCCTAAACTTTTACTTTTAGGAGGTTTTAGGAGATTTTGTCAGGTTTAGTTTGCTTCTGGGTACAATTTTGTCCCCAAAAGAAGTCAGTCCACACACATACAACAGATCTGATATGTGTCCAATCCACATCAGATACTGCCCAGCTAACAAAAATTATGTTCTAAAAATGTTTTGTTAACATTCCCGTTAAGTTATAAATATGTTATTTCTGAATGTTGTCTGAACACTCAAAATGTTCAGTTTTTTGTTTTAGAAAAGTTTTTCTTGGTTATGTAAACTTGAAACATTCCATTTTATCATTATGCACACTTTATATACGATCTAAAACAAGTAGTAACATTTATAAAAAGGTACATGTCCATTTCAGGGGGGGGGAAAGTTCCATAAACAATGTATAAATAATGTTTTTGTGTTAAAGTTTTGAGAACATCATTTAAGACCAAATTATCAAAGAGAACATTATTAATAACTAGAACTTTGAACAAATATTCCATTATTGTTGCTAGAACCTTTGTTCCTTTGCCAGAACATTAGCCAAAATTCTTAGCTGTGTATAGTCATGTATGATAATTACTGTAAAGCTTCAAAAAACATACCATAAAAGTATAATAAAAGTATTGTGTAGTAAACTTTTGCGCTATATTTCAGGTCTTCAGTAGCTTTGACTGAATGTTAGAAGTGTCCCTCAAATGTTATTTAAAAAAGCATGTTAGATAAGCATCATAAGCTATAATCAGACAGACACTTAGACAAACATAAAGGTATAAATACTAGCAAATTTTCTAAAGCATACACAAGTGATACAGAGATTTGACTGTATATTATGTCTGTGCTCTCTCTTCAAAACGTACGCTCAAATACACTGAAATTCTGTGTTATTTCATTCGAAATCAGGTTTGTTTCTTTATATTTCTAAATACGGTTTGATTCGGATCAGGATTCTGGAAGGTCAATGTCATTACCGTCAGTAGTATTGATTAGCAGCAACTTGTCTCAGCTCATAAACTTTGACCTTTCCTTCTTCTCTTCAGTCTGTCAACCCCAATTTAGCAGCATGTAACTGAGGCAAACATAATTCTCTCTTTGTCTTGCCCTCCAGTCCTGGGATATATGTACATGTGTGTGCACTTAAAAAGATTGTGGCTGATTTAATGGGTTTGAATAGAAACAGTTCATAAATCCATACCTGAAGTAAACGACACACACACACACACACACACACACACATTAGTGGCCATATTGATTTTTAATCTATCAGGCTCTCAGCTCTCTCTTCATGAACTGGGCTGTGCTCTCTGGTTACCATGGCAACGGGTGACACGAGTGAGGTTTCAGCAGAAATTAAATAGACAGAAGGGGAGTGAGAATGTCTCTTTTTTTGTTCTGTCCAGTCAAATAAAGCAAAGAACCTTTTATCAAAGTTCATTTACATGGGCGTGTGTAATTTCTGCAGCAATATCATCACCAAATTGCAAAGAAATAATGACTCTTATCAAACAGGTTTCCAGAACACTTTTCCTGCCTGCAGGCCCTCATTTTTGAGGAAATCAACATACAAATGACATAGTTGTCTTCTTGATACTTATTTCACAGTGTAAAAGAAGTATCAGCAGATAATAATAATAATATTCTTTATTTTCTGTAGCACGTAAATGTTACATCTCAAAGCGCTTTACATAAGCAAGTAAAACAACAAAATACACCATATGAAGATTATAAAATAAGCAAGAAGAGAAGAGATGCATTCAAAACACTTAAAAGTAAAATTATATAGAATTAATACCAAAAATTCAAGTAAAAGCTACCCTAAAGAATTGAGTTAAGGCAAGATTTAAAAATCTTTTCTTCTACAATCTATTGTAAAATAAAAATAAAAATAAAAAACTTCATATTTCATACACAGAGTTAGTTCACCAAAAAATGACAATTCTGTCATAATTTACTCGCCCTCAAATTGTTCCAAACATGTATGAATTTCTTTCAGCTGTTGAACACAAGAAGATATTTTGAAGAAAGTTGGTAACCAAACAGTTGACGGTAGCCATTGACTTCCATAGTATGGGAAAAAATACTATGGAATTCAGTGGCTATCAATGACATTTATAAGCTACATATTACAGATGCGAAAACATGTTTAATGTTAATTCCTGAATTATTAAAAGTTTCCTTTTTGCTGAGTTTAAATAGGCCAGACTATACTCCACTTGCCAACACATCTGGTGTTTTTTTTTTTCAAGCAGTGTCTGGTTGGGTATAAAGGGTAAAGAAAGGTCTCAGCACACTGAAACTCTACGGAACAAAAAAGCGGGAACCCTGCTGTCAGACTAATGCATTATTCAACTGCAGGCATTCCCTTAAAATGGCCCAGGAAGGATCCTCTCCCCTTTTGTGATATACTACTCATGCATCTGTGTATCAGCAGGCTGGTGTGCGTGGAAGCTGTGTTATTTTGTTAAGGCCACTCTGTCTGTTTCTGTCTTTCAGGCGGTGTACCTGCAGCAGGCGGAGGTGAACAGGGAGAAGGTGTCCCCCATGCACCAGAGCAGCATTGATGGAGTGGAGGACATGTCCACGCTGGCAGAGCTCCATGAGGCCGCCATCATGCACAACCTTCATCAGCGATACCAGAAAGACAACATCTATGTAAGAATCTTAGAGACGCATGACTGCACGAAGGTCCTTGGGACCTTATCATCGTTATTATTGTATCTAACTTTGCTACAAATGTCTTCAGGTTTGTTCTGTCCCCTTATAAACAGTTAACACACCTTAGATATTTTAATCTAAACCACAGTGAAATTCCCTATAATGTTATTGTTAAGCCATATGATATTTTTTCTGCTTTTGTCTGTAAAGTCTCCTCACTTGTTAGAGGCCAAAAGTGTATGATCGGCAAAAAAGTGAATGATCCTTCTGAATTTTAATAGTGTCATACATCAGAGGTCAAGTTTATCAAATCAATTTAAACTTAATTTAAATAAAATAACACAGAATCACTTCCAACCGATGAGTTACTAGGCCAGCTAAACTTTTGACTTCACCACAGATTGTTTTTATTTGTTGTATAAATAATCATGTCTAGGCTTGACAAGATTATTTTAGATGCAAATTTTTTATTCCTTAACTGATTCCTAAATTAAAATTACTAAAGCTAAACGAGAAATGTTTGGGATCAGCACGATTTTTGATTCTAAGTACTTTAATACTTTTACTCAGCAAGGACAAAAAGTCAAAAGTGACAGAGTGTAGAAAGTTATAATGATTCAAAAGATTTCTGTTTCAAATAATTGCTGTTCTTATGCAAATATTAAGCAGCACAACTGTTTTCAGTGTTGATAATGATAATAATAAGAAATGTTTCTTATTAAAACAAGAAATGTAAGCTCCGAGCTTATTCGCATATTGTGTGTAAATGTTTCAGCATCTGCTTTTATTTCCATTGTTTAAAGTGTCTGTAACAGCATCCGTGTGTGTGAGAGAGACAAAGCGTGAAATCAAAGAATAGGCCCTCAGGGCATGTTTAAATAAATGTGTGCCACTGTAGGGTCTTACCGATGATGTTGACAAAGAGAAGGGTCATGTGATCGGGTGGTGGGTGCAGGCTGGAACCTTATTGGTCTAAACAGAGCCATACATCCAGACTGCTGGTTTAGAGTTGTAGCCTGGAGGGAATGATATGACTCACTGTCTGCATTATGGTCCAAACATTCCAGCTTGACCTTTGCAGAATCCATAGAAAGAGACCTTAAAGCCAGTAAATCCTTCTTTGTAAGGATTGACTGGGACAGAGACAAGCATACTGGAAGTTTTCAGCATGATTACACAGCTTTTATATATCAGATTCTTTTTAATCTTCCATCATACTGGTTTTAACTAACCCAGAGCTAGTGATAACGTGATAAACTTAACTGAAGACAGAAGCTTAAAAATATATTATTAAAAAATATGTATTATGTGGTGTTATGATTATATTATTTTAAATTAGAGATTGTAAAGGGATAATCCACCCAAAATGAAAATTCTGTCATCATTTACACACCCTCATGTTGTTCCAAATCTGTATTAAGTTTATTTATTCTGGAACATAAAATAGCATAATTTGAAGAATGCTGATAATCAAACTGTTTTGGTCATTGACTTCCATTATATGGACAAAATCTACAATGGAAGTCAAAGAGAACTGAAACTGTCTATCAACATTTTTCAAAAAAAAAAGTGTGTGTACTGTATATATATATATATATATATATATGCAGAAAAAATGCATACAGGCTTGGAACGACACAAGGGTCAGTAAATGATGACAGAATTTTCCTTTTTGGGTGGAGTATACCTTTAAGAGGCTTTTTTTTAGGTCTCTTAATGTGTTTTTGATGCCTATATTCTAAAGGTGTTCTAATCTTTCAGAAAAACTTTGGCAATTTTCAAAAAATATTTGAATCAACTATTACATAAAACCCTAATGCCTGTGATTCAGTAGACACTATATCATACAAAATAAAATATTGTTTTTCACACACAAAATTTATAATTAAAATTATAATTTATAATGGCACTAAATTCTGATTAGATGAGCCATCCTCAAAAAAAGTCATAAAATAAACAACTTACCTGTAACCACAACTAACCACACATCGGTTTAAATCTTTACTAATAAAACTACATTACTTTGCATATTGCCCAGACTACTACAATTTATCTAATTGTTTGGTATTGTTTTAATATTTCACCACAAATAAGTGCCATTTTATAGAATGCTATAAAGTCTCAGTCCCTGTGTCAGAGGTAATTACTAGCAACAGTTGTGAACATGACCTGCCCTGTTTACTTCACTGCAGAGGGACAAAAGCATCCGACAGTCATCTACACCCAAAACACATCATGCAATCTAAACCCATTTCAGAGTATAGTCCAATAACCTGCTTGAACAAGTGAGATAATAGCTGTATGGTTGTTTATCTCGGTATATTTGTGCTGGTAATGAAATGGGAGACACTGTATGATAAATCAGTCTAGTTCTCATATGCAATACAGGAAATTATGTATGGATGTTTCTACGATTAGCGAAGGTCAGTGTAATGCTTTTTATTAGTAGAGCTGGAATAAAATTTCACTATCAGTGTCTGAAAATTGCTTATATAAATTTCCCTGTCATTTGAATAAAAAATAAATTGTTGATCTTGCTGTAGACTGCAGATTTGTGTCATGTTGTGCTCAGTGGAGTGAATGTGAAGGGTCTCTCTTATCTTGGTAAATGGATACTGTAATTCACCTTTCCCAGGATGCATTGCATTGCTAGCATCTGAGGTTGATGACTGATAGCAGTGGTTATCTGATTTATCTGAGACACCAGGACATGGTCGACCTGAATGAGAATGACTCTTCTCTCTAGCGCCCTCTTGGGGCAGTAGCAACAAAATATTTTTTTGTAAGGACAACATTGACACAATTTCAGATCCACAGATAATATACCGTGATTTTTTTTTTGTCCATAATGTTGTGTCTAGATGTGTTTGGCACCTCTCCAGGAATCTAGTAATGTCTCAATTTAATCTCATCACTGCTGTTGCTAAGATCAGTAAATCATATTACTGCCAGTCAGCTTGGGTGTTGTTAGCCACAGTATATGAAAATTACAATCACACACCCACACATAAACACATTAATAAAACCAGCATCTGCTAATGCAGTCAATATTAAATTAGATGGATTTATGTTGTCACAGTGCTCATAGATAAGGACAAACATCATCCACAATCCTCTCACGACCCACTGGCACAACCAGCTGTGAAATATGAACGGATCACATACTGATTATTGAACTTCCTTTGAAATTTCCCTTTATCTGTGGGTATAAATTAAAATATACACTGATCACAAATGTGTGTGCATTTGTTTCAATATGCTGGTTTTGTTGTTTTACTGTTTGCTGGCTTTATTATACTCAATACCCCTTAACTTGCTGCCACTTTTTCCTCTATCTCTCAGACTAACATAGGTTCTATCCTGGCGGCCGTGAATCCTTATAAGCAGATCAGAGGACTTTATGATCTCTCTGCAGTGGAGCTGTACAGTCAGCATCATTTGGGCGAGCTGCCACCACACATCTTTGCTATTGCCAATGAGTGCTACCGCTGCTTATGGAAGAGACATGATAGCCAATGTGTGCTGATCAGGTAATATAAGTTTATTTGATCTTGATAAGCAGACAAACTTGCAGAACATGAAATACAGTGAATAGGAGATTTTCAGTAAAATGTGCTCATAAAATGCTAAAAGTTGTGACTGTGTATTATTCATTGGCTGGAATTAGTATGACGATACAAAGCATTTATCTTTCACTCCAAGAATGATAAGTAATGATAATTATAACCATAAAAATTTCAAACTTCCTATTAGCACGCACTGAACAAATCTTTGCCATTTTAAATGGATTTCTTCTGTGGAGTGATTCATTTAAACACCTCTGATTGGTTACTGAGTATAGTAACAACAATTAATCAACAATTTTCTATGGCTGTAATTGTAATTGTGCAGTCTTAGTCACTATTATTATTTTTTATTATTATCATTGTTATTCGATATATTATTATCAACCCCCGAACAGCACGTTTTACTTTACTTTATGTAAAACTCCTTTTAAAACTTCCATACATTTACATAGAAATGAAAAAAGAAACAGTTCTGTCTGACAATATGGCATGTATTATAAACAAATAGGCCCTTGTGTTTTCTAGAGATATCTCTATCTCTTCTTACTGGAATGTAGTGATTTTTTTGTGTCAATTTTTATCTTGTTTTAAAGCACGTAGGTAATGCGAGGAAGGTTTGGAATGCTTTTGGTTTTACTCACTGAAGGAAGGGGATCCATTATTAGATATTATCTTAGTTTACTAATCTCATTTGTGTTAAACCTAAAGGCTGAGTTTGAGCAGTTGTGGCTTTAGACCTTTGCCACAACTGCTATCAGATTTCACAGCATTGCTAATTCAATCATGGTAACACAAATGTCAGTGAAGGTCACAAATGAATGTGTGCATGCGTGTTTACCAGTGGTGAAAGTGGAGCTGGGAAAACAGAGAGCACCAAACTACTGCTACAGTTCCTGTCTGTCATAAGCCAAAACTCTGCCGGGACGCCGCCTACAGAGAAGAGCACACGCGTGGAGCAAGCTATCGTACAGAGCAGGTAAAACACATTCCTACACACACACACAGCCTAAGCATTTTCATGTGCACATACAAATCCACAAAGTTTTTTTTTTTTTGCAGCCCCATCATGGAAGCATTTGGAAATGCCAAAACAGTCTACAACAACAACTCCAGTCGCTTTGGGAAATTCATTCAGCTTCATTTCTCTCAAAGCGGGAACATCCAGGGAGGATGCATCGTCGACTGTATCCTCCTCAGAGCACACATGCTTTAATACATAGTTTTTCTATACTGAGACAACTTGACATTTACAGATGGTACCATACCCATGTGAAAAAGAAGTGTGCTTAATTGTATTGAATGTGCACTTGCAGTGTGCTTTTAATCTTAAAAGTATATTTTTAAAAAACTTGCAGATGATATAATATAATATTATTGAAATAAAAGGCTACTTATTTATACTTGAAGAAAGTACAACTTCATGACTGTTTCTTAACACATTTATATACTTTTAAAAGGTGCACTTTGTAAAAATGTCAAATTTAAAGTTTTACCTGCTGTATTTAATATTACATTTAAAGTTAATTATTTAAATGTGTTAATTTGTGATTTGATCATTACAAATGTGTAATTAGTTTTACATAGGTAGGTAAAAAAGCACTCTGAGTTCAACTAATTGCATTAATATAAATTTAAACTATAAGACATTTCCATTTAATTTGCAAATAACATGCAATTAAGTGTCAGAAAATCCCAGTTACCATAATCACATCAACCATTTAAAATTTTGCCAGAGATTGAGTATTGTCCTCTAGTGTCATTTTATTAGCATAGGTTTTCTTTTTTTCCCATAGAAATGAATGGTTAACTTGGTAACTGGGATTTGTTTTTCCCCATGCTTAAACACATTCACCATACAGTGCACTACAAGCTGCTGTTTCAAGTGTCTGCATTTCCCTTAATTTTTGGCCCATCAGATTTACTTGAAAAGGTAAACCTTTCCATCGGCTGCTGACTCTCTATGATCAACTGTTCACAGTATAAAACAAGCCATTGTTCTGTTAATACAATTTGGCATTGGATATCTTGTCAAAGGCAGAATCACTCCGCCATTTTGCAGAGAAAGAGTGTCTGCCAAAGTGAGATTCTCGCCCACTCAGCATCTGTGATCTGATCTGTGTTCCAGAATCGAGTGGTAAGGCAGAATCCAGGGGAGAGAAACTACCACATCTTTTATGCTTTGCTGGCGGGGGCCAGCAAAGGCCAAAAGGGTGAACGAATACACAATGCGCCTGAACACACATGCATTTACACACATTCACAAATGCAGATGTGCCATCATCAACCAAAATACACTGAATAATTAGATATGTCCATCTCTTTTTAGAGACATATTTTCTGGAAGACTCCCCTGAGTTATTTCACTACCTGAGTCAGTCAGGATGTGTAAAGGACCGCAGTCTCGATGACAAGCAGCTTTTTGACGATGTCATGGTACAAAAAATTTGAATAGACTTTTGTTGATCTGATAATTAACATTTTTGAGGTGAATAAAAATCTAAGTGCAGCATGATGATTCATGCTCTTTTTCTCTTTTCGCCTGCAGGAGGCTCTGAAGGTCATGGAGTTCACAGAAGAAGAGATCAGAGATATGTTTAAACTGCTGTCTGGAGTTCTGCAGCTTGGCAATGTGGAGTTCATGACAGCAGGGGGCGCACAGATCACCACCCAACAGGGTGAGAGGTGTCATTCATCACTTAATAATAGAGAGACTTTGCTAATATGCAGTGCTGCTGGGTACTAACTGATTACATGTAGTCTGGATTACATAATCAGATTGCAAAAATTAAGTACGTTTTAAAATGCTAATGATCAGATTACAGTTACTTTTTTATGGATTACATATTATTCACACAATGGCATAAGTAAGTTATTCATACTTTATTGATTCACCCCAGTTCTTTTCTTCTTCTAAATGTTCATTTCTAAATGACCACTTATAAATATGAGACTAATAATTATGCAAGTTATTAAACACTGCCAATGGATAGCTGTGAAATGTCTTCATCATATCCATAAGTATTTTATCAGTGTATTATTGGAAGTCTGAACAAAATTATTTAAAACCTGGAAGACTTCGGCTAATGAATGTCATGTTCATATGTTTATTACTGTTTGTTCATGCAATGTAGGGATTCCCAAGCTTTTTTATGAGCTGAACCCCTTTGATGTAAAATATTTATTTGATGTACCCCTGAGATTTAAATAATTTAGCAACATATTTGTATGTTCATTTTAATTTGACACATTTATGATTTCATTAATTTATTAGCATTTCATCAACATCCTACATTTTTTTCAGAAACCTAATGTAATGTTTAATGCATTTTATGAAATTGATAATATTGATCTTTTTTTATCAATATGGTACACAATAATTCCGTTCAAGTCTATGTGACGAATGAGTTAGGTCAAAAGTAAACTAAAAGTAGTCAGACTACATGACCTAATTTGTGTAATCCAGATTGTTACAATTTTTGTCATGTAATTTATAATCAGTAATGGACAACAGTTCATAAGTAATCTACCCAGCACTGCTAATACGTGTTTGTTAGTAAGTCTCTTCTCTGTTTTCCTGCAGTTATCACTAATGTGAGTGAGCTCATGGGTCTGGACAGTTTTCAGTTGTCTGAGGTTCTGACCCAGCGTTCCATGATCCTCAGAGGAGAAGAGATCTGCTCTCCACTCACAGTGGAACAGGTACAATCACACATACATTCTCATATTGATATACTTTTAAAAAAAAAAACTTACATAGTTTGGCAGTTCTTCTCTTCTGTCTCCACTTGATCAAAAATGGGCATTTTCTTTTATCATGCTTGATTGACAGGCAATAGATTCCAGGGATTCGGTTGCCATGGCGCTTTATTCTCAGTGCTTCTCGTGGATCATCATGCGAATCAATCAGAAGATAAAGGGCAAAGATAATTTCAAGTCTATTGGAATCTTGGACATCTTTGGTTTTGAGAACTTTGAGGTGTGAGGCCACATGGATCACATGTTCATGCACAGACACACATTTTTATTGAGATCTAACCCAAGTGTTTGTTTGTTCTGAAGGTGAACCGTTTTGAGCAGTTCAACATTAACTATGCTAATGAGAAACTTCAAGAATATTTCAACAAACACATCTTCTCTCTGGAGCAACTGGAGTACAACAGGTAAAGACTGGCAACCGTGAGTGCATGAAAGTTTGTTCTTTTATTAAATGTCTATTTTTACATGTGTAATGCATCTCATAAGTGCCCGATCACCTGAACAGTTATTAAATATGCAATTTAAGCATCTAACAAGATTATTGTTAAGTTTGTACAAGTTTTGTGTACTACAATTGTGTGGTACAGGGAAGGGATTCACTGGGAAGCCATTGACTGGATGGACAATGCAGAATGTTTGGATCTGATTGAGAAGGTAAACCAGTTATGGTCAGCTATCAGGAACAGTTCGGTTTAATTAGTCCAGCTGCCACATATTTATACATATATTTTATATTCAAAGTTCAGTTTGATTATTTACAATAGTAGAATTTTTCAGCTTTGTATTATGTAACACTTATTTGCTGTCGTGTTTGTGCAGAAACTGGGCATGTTAGCTCTGATTAATGAGGAGAGCCGATTTCCCAAAGGCACTGACTTCACCCTGCTGGAGAAACTGCACAGCAGACACTCTGTGAGTTAAGTTCTTATCACACAAAGACATAATACTATTCAGCCAAGCATTTACAGTATAACATGAATAGCATATTTTTCCACAGACTAATCCCTATTATGTGAAACCCAGACTGGCAGACCATCAGTTTGGGATAAAACACTATGCTGGAGAGGTATATGAAATATCCATCTGTCTGTCTGTATGTCTATTTATCTCTCTGTCTGTCTTATTTCTTGATATTTTTTGTTTTCCTTTTTATAGGTCTTATATGATGTGAGGGGGATTTTAGAGAAGAACAGAGACACATTTAGAGATGATATACTGAACATGCTGAAGGATAGTAGGTAAGACGCAAACACACAAATGCACAAGCTCACACACACACTGAGGCAGTTTTGTTGTGTACAACTTATTTCGCACTCTCATTTAACCTGTGAGTTATTCTCTGTGTGTGTGTGTGTGTGTGTGTGTGTGTGTGTGCAGATTGGATTTCATCTATGACCTGTTTGAGCAAGTGAGCAGCAGAAATAATGAGGAGACCTTGAAGATGGGCACAGCAAGAAAAAAGCCCACTGTCAGCTCACAGTTCAGAGTGAGATAAAACTCCTATATCAAGACTTTTAAATAATAGACCTAAAATTGAACATGCTAAAGTGCTGCATGTTAAAACAATCAGGAACTAAGTCACTAGTCATACAACCCTGTTTTTTGTTGACATTTTGCCTGCAGTCCTTTCTGACGTGTCAATGATTTAAAACATTTGATTGGTTGTCTCTTCTGTCTCTCAGGACTCTCTTCATGCCCTAATGGCCACTCTCAGTGTATCCAACCCCTTTTTTGTGCGTTGCATCAAACCCAACATGGACAAGGTGAGAGCAGTCACATCAGCCAATACAAATGCAATTTATATTCCACACATATTATTCATTTTAATAATGCATTTTTTTTTTGGTTCTGTAGACCCCAAACAAGTTCGACCCAGATGTGGTTCTCAATCAGTTGCGGTACTCTGGCATGTTGGAGACGGTGAAGATTCGCAGAGCTGGATTCCCTGTCCGACGCACCTTTAAAGACTTCTTCAGCAGGTAAATGTTAAAACGCATACAGGTGCATGAATTTTTGTTGGCTCAGGTTTTCTTGCAGACTATGATTTAGTGGTTGTATGCATCAGGTATAAGATCATTCTGAAGGAGAAGGAAAAGGCAGCTGTGGCTTCAAATGGAGATGAGAAAAAGAAGAGCACAGATTTGCTCACACTCCACGACAGGACCAAAAAGGAGTGGCAGATTGGGAAGACCAAGGTGAGTGACCTTTGACCTCTTGCTTTATCGCTTCTCAATTGATAGTTATCTTTTTCTGTCTGTGAGGTTATAAAGATAGACTCACACATGGACCTTTTCTGTCATGAATGTGCACTTGTTATGTTTGATTGCACTAACCTGATATAATTTTTGACCCCAAGGTGTTTCTGAAGGAACCTCTAGAACAGAAGCTGGAGAAGCAGAGAGATGAAGTGCGAAGCAAAGCTGGACTGATCATACGAGCCTATCTTCTGAGATATATTGCAAGGTGTGTGTATTTCTTGGTTTTTGCACAGATTTACTTAGATTACATTAGGTATAGTTTCCAAAACATTTTCAATACACAACATTTCTTTAATGTCATCTGCCCCTTGTTATCTATATGGCCTAGCCTGTCCTGATGATTTTTTATGATCATCTTGTTTTCTTCAGAGTTAATACCAAAAATATTTAAATATACACTACCAATCATTTTTTGTGTTTTTGACAGAAGTCTCTTATGCTCACCAAGGCTGCATTTATTTGATAAAAATATAGTAAAAACAGTAATATTGTAAAATATTGTTACATTTTAAAATAACTGTTAATAATAATGAAAGCAAAACTTACAAGAGCAAGTTTTTCATACTATATATACTATATAAGTGCAAGTGCCTATTCTTTACCTGTTAGTGCTCATCTAGACATGACAACAAGTAGTGTCTTAGTGACAGCTTTAATAAAATACTGATCTCACAGTTACTTATTCTAAGGGAACTTGAACTGTGTACTCACTACAGAAAGAACTTTAAGAAGGCTCTGGACAGCATTCTGACCATCCAGAAGAACTACCGCGCACATTTCTATCGAGGTCAGTTTCAACGGAAACGCTCAGCTGCACTTGTTCTCCAGAAACACAGGCGAGGGCAAGTGGCAAGAGGAGTCTGCCACAAACTACGAGAAGAGAAGAGGAAGAAAGAGGAGGAGGAAAGGAAAAAGAAAGAAGAGGAGGTGAAGAAAACAGAGGGAGACCATGAAAAGAAAAATGAAGAGGAAAAGGAAGGAGAGAAAGCAGAGGTCAGTGACTTTAACATTCCTTTTAAAAGCTCATAGACCATGCATACTAGCTGTGTATATATTTTAGGGCAAAAAGCCCACCGACCTCTTAAAGTCACCATTGGGGTGATTAGTGTCACTTTGTATATCAAGTGATCAACATTTTTAAGTTAGTCTTATCTTATTCCAAACTTTGAAACTTTCCATCATGAATATGCAATATGTATGTTTAGCTAAGCTTTTAAATGCGAGTTTGTCTGATTATGCTGATTGATTGTAATTATTGTTGTCACATAGCTTTGTCTTTATTCTGTATGAGCCCATTACTGTCACATAAGAAAAATGCTTTGGTAAATCATAATTATGACATAAAAAGTTACAATTATGACATTACAAGGTGTAATTATGACATAAAATTTAATATTATGATAAAAGCATGATATAAATGTAATTGTGACAAAAGTCATAAGTACATGATAAAAAGTTGAAATAAAAAATAAAAAATTATGAGATATTTTTGTCATAACTATGACTTTTTTTCTAATTTTGACTTTTTCAAAATTTTGACTTTTAACTCATAATTATGACTTATGCCACATTTGAGAAATGCATTTGTAAACCTAAGTTAAAGTCTAAATTACGGCATAAAATCTTTATATCATAAATGTAAAATTATGATACAAAAAGTCTAAATTATGACATACTCTTTATGAGATAAAAAGTTGTAATTCTGAGATTAAAAAGGCATAACTATGACAAAATATTTTATCATAATAATGACTTTATATCTAATAATTATGAATGTTTATGATTTTTTTATGTGTAGAAACTAGGTTACCATGCTTTTCAACAACATTTTTAACAGACAAATTATAGAGCAACGTTTTATTCTTAAAGGGGTCATATGATGCGATTTCAAGTTTTCCTTTCTCTTTGGAGTGTTACAAGCTGATTGTGCATAGATAAGATCCCTGAAGTTGCAAAGACTAAAGTCTCAAAACCAAAGAGATATTCTTTATCAAAGTTAAGACTCTGCCACGCCCCCCTAAAACGGCTCATTCTAACACGCCCCCACATATCTACCCCACTATGTGGAAATATTTGCATAATCCCGCCGCAAATGTGCACGCAAAGAAAGAAGGCATGGTGTCAGTAACCGCAGTTAGTGTTGAAGCAACCATGTCAGGGAGACGCTGTGTGTTTCAGTGCGAAAGCAAAAGCACTTTATTTGGATCACTTACAACAGAACAGCAATGCATTTTATGGACGACCGTTTCGTGAACCTAGGAGAGGAGGTAATGCGGAATCAGCTACTGTCAGCGCGCGCGAGCAAGAGAGAGAGAGAGCGGTGTGTGTGTGTGC